CTAAACCCTAAACCCGCATCCTAGCAATGGTCTGGACACTGGTCGAGGTGATCGTAGCCGAGGTCCGAGTTGTGGTCAGCGGTCCTGTAGCCTCAAATTGTCCAAGGGTTTAGGGTTGAGGGTTTAGGGTTTACGGTTTAGGATTTAGGGTTTAGGGTTTAGGATTTAGAGTTTAGGGTTTAGGATTTAGGGTTTTTAGAGTTTAGGGCTCAGGGTTTGGAAGTCTTTTTGGTTTTTTGGTGTCTAGTGTTCAGGTTTTTGCATGGGCGGAGCCAGAAACGCTAAAAGTCAGAAGGCCATAGGCAGTGTGATTTTTTCAGCACCCGCCACAAAGACAAGTTAGTTCTGACATCCCCATCTGCACTCCAGCTTGCGTAGTAGCATTCTTGGCAGTAGAACGAATCAAACCTGTATGATTCGATCTTATCAAAAAATATACCCAGAAGGATATGATCTTGCTCTATTCTGGGAACTCTAGTACAAGTATCCCATTCTGACCCATAATAACCACCCATGTGATCACATTCGCCAAATCTTGGAAGAAACCACAGTAAGAAATGTACGTGATGAAGCCTAGCCTTCCTTCAATGTTCTCGCCTGTCCAATGGAATTGCACATGTTATGGATTGAGGATTCAGGGCTTAGGGTGTGTTGCTTGAGGTCATTGCTCCACTTCTCCAAACAGGACCTTCAGACCTATCCCCACATGAGCCCTGGACTTTAAAGTTCTAGTATATCCCTTAAATAGGTATAGGACCCCCCAACTTGACTTTAGTCCGCAGCTCACATGAGCTATGGCCTAAACTCCTAGGATCCCCGCTAACAATCCCCATAATAGTCCCCTGTATAATCCCCATATAACCCCCTTGGATTTAAGATCCTTTACCTAAACCCCCAAAATATGTGAAATAATGGCCCTAAACCACAATAATAAATAGCCCTAAAGGCCGTTATTTTACATACTTTGGGAGGTTTAGGTAAGGACTTTCGACTATGGCTCACATGGGGCTTATCACCCTCAGCGTCTTCTTGGATAACCCCCACAGGTTGGGCGGTCCATGGTTTGAGCTACAAAAGCATTAATCCATGAATTCCCCCTATAGTCCCCCTTAAGTAGATAGAATATGGGGTATATGGGGGGGTCTTGTTATAATTATTCTATCTAGTTAAGGGGGACTATAAACCCTAAGCCCAAAACCCAAACCTTTTCTGCTATGTAGCCCAACAGAAATTTCTCAAACTCTGGCTATCCCAGCCGCTTCGGAAATGAGAATAACTACCGCGGTTTAGGGTTTAGGGTTGAGGGTAGCTGAGCAGCCGTGCTTGTGGTCTCGGTTGCCGTAGTTGTAGTTGTCGTCGTCACAGTGAAGGTCGTAATCGTGGCCGTGGTAGTGGGCTCCGGCATTGGGGCCTGGCTCGTGCTAAGACAACCTGTGAAACCAATTCCTAAGGGTCCAAGGACCCCAAAAATGAGGTTTTAGGGCCCAAATACTATAATATGAATGGTATTTGGGCCCTAAAACCCTATTATTTTGGTCCTTGGAATCTTATTAGGGAATGTGTTTCACAGTTCCTCACACTTCTCCAAGTAGGTTGGAGGGATTCCAAACACTCCTTCGCCTCTAGAGTCTTTGTTCCAAGTATCCCGTTTAATTACCCCCCGATACTCATAGCCCTATATGATCCCCTATATTACCCCTTGAAAGGAGTTTCACTATGGGTCACAGTACCCCAGGGTCGCGTAGGTGTAGTCCTGTTGCGGGAAACCCCGATTTGTGTGTGCCTGTGCGCCAAAAACATTGTCCTTATTGAAGTTTCTTATGCCCCGTACCCTTGTAGGACCCCATGCGGGTCATATATCTGGGGCAACTAACTCTTTGTGCATGAAAGCTTCGAAGTTAATCTTGAATTTGAGGCCCTGCGAGGCCCTCAGGGCCATTGGTGTCTTCCTATGGAGTGTGCTGAGAAATTCGCACCCTTCTCCTGGAACCTAAGCCAACCTATGGAAGCTTCCTAGGAAGGAGTTGGGGGATGCTTAGAGAACCAAAAATTGTGTGGGAATTAAAAAAGGAACTACAAGCCCTAGGTAGGGTTGCGGAGAAGGATTTCATAAACTCCCATGTGATTTGATCAAGGAGCGTAGAAAGCTGCGTAGATTCCAGCGCCCTCATATGACACACCTTGGGCGCGAACGGCTTGTTTGTGGCTTCAATTTCAGCCTCAAGGTTGCTGTGCTTGTTGGATGAAAGAAACATCCTAACAGCTGAGCATCCGTAAAAAATGAAACTGCGCCCAGGCCAGAGAAATAAGGCCCTGAGACAACAAAAAAGGGCATGAACAGGGTCTATGCCTTGAAAAGGAGGGGCAAAAAACCACTAGCAAAGAATACGGGAATAGAATCCCTGTGTAAACCCCCAAATAAGATATTCCCGTATTCTCTACTAACCCCGAGTAAGAAAGGGCTTTGAGGCTCTGCGTCACCCAAACATATTAGAGCCAGAACCCCACAGCCCTCAAGCCCTATGTGAGCTACAGTCAATACATATATATATATATATACATATATACATATATGCCCTAGGCTTTGCCTTGGGTACTGCCCCCCCTCAGTAACAGCTGCATAATAGTTAAAATATGGTTATATATAGCCCTTAATAGGACCCCTAATATAGTCTGTTACTGGGTGGGGGCAGTACAGAAGCTTTACCGTAAACGCTAAACCCTAAATTTAGGTTGAGAGCTTTTGGTTTGGTGTGTAGGCAATGGACACGGGTTCCTTATTTGGGTCTACATTAAGGACTACCATAAACGGCAACAGGGAAGTTTAGTGTTTAGGCTTTAGGGTTGTCATGAATCCTCGAAACCTTCATGTTGAGAATCACCTAAGCTGTACATAAACCCCAAAAGTATGTAAAAGAATGGCCTTTAGGGCTATGGTTTTGGATTTAGGGCCATTGTTTTACATATTTTGGGTGTTTAGGAAGCCCCCAACCCCAAAACCTAGGCTTCAACCATCAACCTTACATAGTCCACTATATCCCTATATATACCCCCTTACATCCCTGTCTAACCCTATATACCCCTTTACAAGGAGCTACAATTAGACTAAAACCCCAAGTTATCAGCCCCTTAAGTCCCCTAGTAGTATGGTTTTAATCGGCCTGCAGCTAAATGTAGGTTTAAGGTTTAGGGTTTACCTTTTAGGGTTTAAGGTTTAGGGTTTGGGGTTTAGGGTTTAGGGTACACTGCTTCGTAGCCCTAAAAACCCCTTTACTGGGACTGAGGGATATAGTCCCCCCTAAGTAGATGGAATATAGCTTTGGGTATATTATGATAAGATCCCCATATAGCCCATATTCTATCTAAGGGGGACTATACCCTAAACCCTAAACCCTAAACCCATACCCTTAACCCTAATAACCCTAAACCGTACCTATAGAACCCCCTTTTGACCCCTTTTACAGGGCCCTGATGGGATTCCAGCCCTTTCGTACCCTAAGCCCTACTCGGAGGGTCGTGGGGACTTATTAAGCAGGCTTAATAAGGGGTTAGGGTTTAGGGTTTAGGGTTTAGGGTGTTAGCTGGGGTTATTATTTATGTTATATGGGTTACAAGTATACTTACTAAGTCTCCCTGACCCCCCAAATAAACCCTAAACATTCACTGACCAGCCACACGTCAAGGCAGGGTCGGGTTGGCTTTCTTGAACGTTGGTCACCTCGGGAGGGCTGGCTAGTTAGGATTTGGGGTTTAGGGCTTGGGGTTTAGGGTTTGGATTTCTGGTGCCTTTTGTATGAGGGTTTAGGGCTTGGGGTTTAAGATTTTAGTTTGGGTGCTGGGGTCTAGGATGTAGGGTTAGGATGTAAGGTGTAGTGCTGAGAGTTTGGGCATAGGGTTAAGGGCTCCGGGTTGAGGATGTCTGGCTGAAGGTTTCAGAAAGGGACTCTGTGGCCCTTCAGTACATGGATGTATGTACAAACATGCAGTTAGCACACCCTAAGCCATAAACCCTCAAGTGTAAAGCCTAAAGCCCAAACACCGAACTCAATATGATGTAAATCCAAAACCCAAAACAGGATTGCATCAGGAAGACAATCTTACATCCCACATGGAATTGTCAACTGAAGCTGGCTGAGCTGAGTAGAAGAGGATAAGGGGGTTCCCAAAGCTAGGGGTACCTTTTTGGGAGGCCCTGTAAAAAAGAGAACCGTAGATTGGGCCTATATTGGGGTACCCTAGTCTGCTACATTTACGCCAAATTCGTAAAGTTTAGGATAAACTCGCCGGAATTCTGGGGGCTGAGGACGTCCCACCCTTTATAAGGTTTGCCTGAACCCCAAAAGTATGTAAAATAATGCCCTTTAGTGCTATTATTATGGGTTTAGGACCCAAAGCCTCAGCTCCCGGGCCTCTAAACTCCAAACTGAAGCTGTTTAGGGTTGGGGTTTAGGGCTTCAGGGTTTAGGGCTCTGGGGTTTAGGGCTTTAGGGTTGGGGAGTTAGGTGTTAGGGCTTAGGGTAGGGTTTACGGGGAGGTTAGGGTTGACGGCTTAGGGTAGGGTTTAAGGTAAGCCCTGAACAGAGAGAAAGAGAGGGTGAGAGAGAGATGTAGATATGTGTATATATATATGTATAGATATAGATGTATACATATGAATATATATATATATAGAAAGATAGATAAACAGATAGATGGATAGGATAGGATAGGATAGGAGAGCATAGGCTTGTACAGGGTCCCTTTAAAGCGGCTGTGGGGGAGTTTAGGGTTTAGGGGTTTCGGTTTATGGGCCTTGACCCACAACTTACTGGTGTTAAAGAGGCAGTGGGAGAGTGAATATAAGTAAAACTGCGGCGGAGTGTAATATGGGGCTTATTGTAGAGATCCACTCCCCTACTCCTCCTTGACTCCAAAAAAGGCTAAGACCTAGAGCCAAAACCCCTCCACCGTAAAGTCTGGCCCCTAAACCACAGCCCCATATACGTCTGACTGTCTAACCCCTAAACCCCGAAGCCAAAACCTCTGAACCGCAAACCATCAACACTAAACCTCTAAACCACTATATAACCCAAGTTTCCAATTCAGTTATTCATCTTCGCTTGCATTTGATTCTCATTTATTTTTGTAATATCCTTATATCACCATGTTATAACCCCTTAAAAGGAGCCTGGGGTTTCCACTTCCTTTACCATGCTTGGACAAATCTCTCTAAACACTAGACCCAAAACCTTAAACCTTGAGCCCTAGACCCCAAAACCTCGCCCCCATAACTGTAGTCTGTCAACGGTTTCAGGGCTTGTAGCCCTAGGGTTGTACCGCTGGGTTTTGGACTACAATGGCTCATATACGGGCCATCTTAGGGCTATACTGGGGAAACCTTTTAGGGGTGCGATTTCAGGGGTATATACCCTCCTTTTCGGAGTTCAGACCCTAAACCCCCGCCCCTAACCCCTAAACCCTATATACTCCCCTATATAGCTTAACCCCAAGCCCTAAACCCTCGACCCTTCATAGCTTACCCGGCCCGAGAACCTGTAGGTCGCCCATCTGCCAGGACCCCGAGGCGTCGTGCCACTTGGCACACGCTGGAACCTGGACAAACCAGGCCTACTTTTGGGGTTTTGCAGTGGAGTGCCAGGCCCCCTAAACGGATCTAACTACACTTTGGGTATAGTATATAATGGGGTAATATAGGGGTAATGGACAAGAAAATGGAAGCTCCTATAATACATTTGGGTTACATAGGGAATATGGCTTCGGGTATATTTATAATAAGATCCCATATACCCCATATTCTATCTACTTCAGGGGGCCTATAGGGTTTTGAGCCTACAAGGCACATGCTTCGATCGGACTGCAGAAAAGGGCTATTTTTGTAAGGACCCTGGAAATCCATGCCTCCAAATAAGAATGAGTGAGCTAACAACTTCTAAGCCCTAAAACCAAAACCCCTAAACCCTTAAACCCTAAACCCTCTAAACCCTAAACCCTAAACCCTAAACCCCTAAACCCTCTAAACCCTAAACCCCTAAACCCTCTAAACCCTTCACCGAGGCACCAGGAAGAAGCCG